CTTTTGCTGAATAAAATGATATATTTTTTATCGTAATTTATTTAAAGAGAAGTTGAGAAATATTAATTAAAAGTCATCGAAAATTCTTAACCTACATTGCTGATCATTTCCCGATTCCAAACTTTTGTCCAGTGAGTGTACATGACGACATGACGCTGATCTTAAACGCAACATCAATTTTAGTGGCGCAGTCGCAATATTTTGCCACTGCGCTTTCTGACGCTTAGGTGAAACGAGAACCTAATAAGAGGATTATTTTTAGAAACCGAATATTAAACCTCGATTTTTTTGAAATATTATTTGATGATAAGGAATAATGCAATATTATTAAATTGATTAAACTTTTAATAGATATCTACGGCGGAAAAATCGATTTACAAGATCATGTGAGTTTCGAAACTTTGGATTTATTAATTGCAGCCGATGAGTTAATCTTGAGGATTTGAAAACCATTCGAAATCTTTGACAGGGTTTCGCCTTAATCAATCAAATTGCATAGAATTCACCTAATCTAAACTTAAGTGACGAGTCTTTGTCAAATGATATAATAGGTGCATTATTATTACAAGCATAAATTTTATAATAAAGTTATGATTCATTTAATTGTGTATTTAAGCGTCTGTTTTCCTTTTTTTGAGGACAAGTTAACTCAAAAAGGGGATGAGTTAAAAGCGATGGAAAAAGTAATGGAAGTTTTAAGAGTAGAAAACGAAAAATTGATTAGTAAAAAAGATAATTCTTTACAGGAGGTGAGTGGTGAATTAAAAAGAAACAGTAAAGGAACATTTGGAATAGAATTCGCTCTCAATAACGAAGAGTTTATCAGAGAATGTGAATTTCCTATATCATTTAATCTGGTCAACAGAAAAATTAAACTATAGTTATTATTCAATGCCGATACATTTTTTGTTAATACATGTATAAGTTTAATATCCTCGACCCGGAACTATAAAATGGTTTCTTCGTATAATGTTATTTCGTTCGTGTTTCAAAGAAGTTTCGTCCGTGATGATGAAAATTGATAAAAACGACGAAGAGAATAAAGATGATTGAGAATTTTTCATTTTTTATTGTGTTATAGAATAAGAATTAAGATAGATCTTTTAGATTTTATTCTTTTTCCAAAGAGTATACTGGGCGAGTTTTATATAATTCAAGAATATGAGTTGCTCATTGTTAGCAATTGAAGCTTGGTATTTCTACTTCAAATGTTCACACGAGCAATAAATCAAAGACGAAAGCTTTCATTTTCATTCAATATAATATTCAGTTGGATAAGTATACAGGCTTAATACCTTATCCATTTGAGACTTAATATAAAAATTGATAGCTTAAATAATACTATGTAACGTGTATTCGTTTATACATATGTGAATAACAATCAGACTTTTTTTAAAAGAAAGTTTCATCAAGTCATTTTGTTATTTGTATTGTTCATTATATTATTTTAAAATTAATTGTTCTTACATGGAATCAAAATAAAGAAACACTAATTTACAATTTTCTAAAAATCGTATATCTATTCAAATAAGATGACTAATATCTCATTTTTAATAAATTATTAAAACCATTTTCGTAAATTAAGCAATTTAGGTCAAAATTTTTCAACCAGTAAAAATTTTCGCAAATATCCAAGACAAAACCTACTTAAAGATCAATCATCGGTTATTGAGATATATAATGAACTTGAAAAAATTCAATTAGTAAAAAAAATAAATAGTTTTTGAATTTTTCACATTTCATTAAATACCTCAATAACAAATGATTTGACTGAGCTGAAAATTTGTAATAGACTGATTTCATAAAATGAATCTTTTTATTAATGCTTCAAAGTAGGTTTTGTCTTGGTTATCGCGGAAATATTACTAATTGAAAAATTTTAACCTAAATTGCTTAAATTTACATAAATGATATATTAATCATATTGATAAGATACGATTTTTTGTTAACATTGCTTTACTTTTGGTTCTCACTGTATTTTTGAGATATATACAAAAAATCTTATCGTGAATATAAATGGGAATTAATTTTTTATAACTTGTTATATGTTTACAGAAATCATCATTTTAACCCAATGGCATCTTTACCATTTCATAAGAACTGTTTGCGTTTCTTAAGGAACATGTTTTTTGTGACTATTTTAAAGATCCTTACCTTATATTTCGATTATAATTTGTGGAGAATTACGATGAAGTATTGCATTAACATATGGAAAGGCAACCAAATACTCACAAAAAATTTTAATCAAAAAGTCATGATAACTGGCAATAAATAATTTATAAACTGAAACGGAAGTTTTTTCTTTACTGTTCTCGATATTTGTTGTGCGCGATATTTGAGGCTTGGATTATCTTTGGCTTAGCACTTTTTGGTCGGTACATGTATAACACGATTCCGATTTATACTGAATACCGGCGAATATCATGTATTTAAGATATCCGGCCGGTATAAACTGATAATGATCAATGGCTTATATGAGTTTTTCGCATACATATAACGGCCAATCAAGTTTCGTTGTTACATCATGTGGATAACACGGCCCGGTATACATAAAGTACGGCGACTTTTCATGTGATTTTTTAAGCGGTAAATCAAATTCAAAACAAATGTTTATTTTTGAAAACTAGCTTGTATCTCAAAATTTTGCCTAGGAAACTACTTTCTGTATTCTAACAAAAAATGTTCCTTGTGAAAGTTTAATTTACATTTGTAACTGAAATATAATCTTAACTCTGAGTCTAACCTTACCGTTACCCTCACCGTTATTAGTATACACTAAGTATGATCAGCATGCAGATTAGCACAAATAAAGTAATACAAATTTTTTTTCCCTTTTTTCAGAAAACTTCTTTTTATTGTGTAATCAAGACACTCCCTCATCCTTTTCTTACTCGTGATGGATAAAAAACGAAGGGAACTTTCAGAAAAAGAACGCAATGAGATCATCGGCGCTTGGAAGTGCGGAGTGCCGATTCCTACCATTATAAATACTTAAAATTCGAAAAAACTACTGTCTACAGGATTATTAACACTTATAAAAAAACTGGTGAAATAAAACCACCTCCACGCCCCGGAACAAAGCCTAAACGAGACACACGTTTTATTAGTAAAAAGCGATATATCGGGCAGTTTTACATAATAAATAATTTGTTCATCAATTGACTTCAGTATAAGCCGAATTCAGTGTATAACGCGCCGTTGTAAAGGGCTTTGACTGTACATGTATTTTGGCTAACAATATATATCACATCTTTAAAAAAAATTTAAAAATAAGTAACGGTCATTTTTTACGTATATTTACAGAAATTCTTGATATACGGCTTGTAAACTTTAACAAAGATCGTATATAAATTATCAGAATTGAAAAATCTATATATTAATGAATTAAAAGCAACGATTATAGCTCACAGGACAATATTCTTAGATAGAGAAGAATACTGCACCTTAAAACAGTATAAAAAGAACTATTCTTTCTACCAAAATTCTTTAATTGAGATATTTTGGCCAAACGTTGTACTGTCATTTCCAAGAAACGAAATATCCAATTGCTTAATATTAATAGACAGTTTTCAATACTTTAATGATATATGTACACGTAAAATATTGACAATATATGACAAAAATCATCTTTACAATTTTCGCTTACGTCACACTTATTTCTGTTGCTTGGCCATGTTAAAAAACGAGGTGATAGCAACGGCAGTTATAGCAATACTTACGATGACAAACGAGATTATATAATAGCAATGACAATGTGAAAGGCTCTAATATCAGCTATATCGATATGAACAAGGATAAACGAGATCATTACAATAGAGATGAATGATAATACAAATCACAAACATGTATAAAACGTACATTGCAGTATTTCCAAAGATTTAAATCATATAAGGTGTTAACGTTAGATAGTTAATCGTCAAATAAATAGGATTGTGACTGTAAAGAGAATCAAAAGTCATAATCATTGTTTGTCTAATCCCAGGTGTTACGTATATTATGGAAACTATTTCCTAAATTATATCAGTTTTTAAAATAAATAATATCAAGAATAATAATTATATATAAAAATTTATTTTTAGAATGCTTATAAACAGGTCTTTATACCCTTAAAATATTTGCATTCAACATACCTTCTTCTGCATCAACATTAATTTGAATGCAATCTGCCATAAGGGCGATAACCCTTAAGAGCTTCCTTCTCAAAAATGTACCTTTTTTTCTCTTTCATTGATAAACAATAACCTTTCACAACATGTACAACTTTTGGTATATCATTACCTTAGCTCTCCTTTTCATGTCTCCACTTGAAAAACCCATATAATATGAGGTCCGGCTTTATAAAACCATAGCAAAATGCATATTGCATGCAGCACCACAAAGGTTTCATGAAAATTTTTCATAAAGCGGCTTTATATGAATAATCAAAAAGTAAATGATTGCATTTTTGTAAAGATAAAAATTATATCGTTTACAAGAATGAATATAGGTATAATTTATTTAAGAAATTATTGCAGAATTATTGTGAGGCTTGGCCTAAAGTAATTTTGATGATAAAGAAGGATGATTATTGCGTATTGGTGACAAGTACAAGTCAATCACACTAAAAAGAACACGACATCAAACATCTAATTTTGTCCTTATCGTTATAAATGGAATGTCATTATATAGAGGTAAATTTTCTTACAGTAATATGTGTAAATTCTATTATAAATTTTTACACCGTTTCTATTGCACTCAGCCCATATCGATATATCATTTGGTCGCTGTAGAGAAATTCCGTTATCGTTATAAAAAAGTGTCATTATAGGGAGATTGGCATATGTCAGCGCAAACCAACAAGTGATTCATTATGTCTCATGCAAATCGCACATCTGTCTATATACTAAACAAACAAATGATTTGTTAATCTTTTCGCCTTAGCGTTAGGCTACGATGACGACGATAATGAAAGATTTAAAGCTGGTAAAAAGACATTTTATGACGTTAAATTCTTTTATATTGATTTATCTTACAAGAGAAAAACTAGTTTTCTTTATTCTAGAAGAATGATCCCAACAAATAAATTTAGTTTCTATCTAAATATAAGCATAAATAATTGAAATGTTCGATTTGATAATATTTGCAGCAGGAATATTAAAAAACGAAAACTCATTTTCTGAAAATAGTATCCAATTGCCACCTTCTTATTGGCAAACCTCTCCTCATATTTCTTAAAAAAGATTTAATCGCATCATGAGTATCAGCAAGAGTACCGTAACCATTGTGATGATATAAAGCAACGCTTTGTGTAGCTTCACTTGATCCTGTCGCTTCCCATTTTCGATACCACCAAAAAGCTTTATATAAATCTTGAGGTAAAGTACCGGATCCTTCTTCATACGATACCGCCATAAATTTCATCGCTTCGTCAAATCCTAAATTCGCAGACTTCCGTATCCAATATAGTGCATATTCAAAATTTACGTTCGACATGCAAATGATTGCCAATCGAAATTGTGCAATAGCCATTTCAGCTGAAGCGGCTTTCGTATACCAGTAAATTGCGGATGAAAGATTTTCTTTTGTTCCTTTACCACGTTCGTAGAATAGCGCAGTTTCTTGTTGGCCGAGAGGATCACCTATGTTTGCAGCGCGTTTGTACCAATAGAGCGCTTTTTTCTCGTTCACATGTGTACCAATTCCACATATATATAGAAACGCAAGTAGTGTCCAGTATTTGGAATCTTTTCTTCGTGCATATATATCTTTGAAAAATACAGACGGTTCGTAGTTATATTTATTGAGTAAGATGTTTACGTTAATATGGATTTCAAAGTCGTATTGCCATTTATAATTTCCGTTGATATAAGTTTTTAAGATTGTATCAATAATGAATTCGGAGTGATTTTTTGCAGAGCGAGTGATTAAGTCTAGATTTATATGCATTTTGATAAAAAATAAAAGTTATCTATTGATAAAAGAAAAATGATGGCCTTTTTTATATTTTGGGGATGTTCTGATCGAATGATATTCAAATCACACGATTTTAACGATCCTTTCTATCAATAACAAACAAATATTACATGACTCCAATTTTTGGTCCAAAGCTAGTAGAACATTTTGATTGGTTCTCACCAATGTATCACATGATTTATCTGGTCAAACCTAAAAAATACTAGATTGCTGAGATCGGGATGGTCTAGGAATGGAAATACTAATCTGGGACGAGATTGAATTGTATGATGACGCCATATCCATGACGACGACATGACGGTGATGTTTTGTAACAAAATAACATTACGTCGAAAAATGACAATATTTTAATAAAAATACAACAGTTTTTCTGTAAATATTAATGGCATTTGTCTATTCAGCAAAAATTACGCGAAAACCTCACCTCATTTTTAATAAATTTAAAGTAGAAAATGGTTTTCTTTATATAAAATACATGTATTCGTGCTATTTTCGCGTCAAATTCTGTACATCTTGACTCATTCCGCATAACTCCGGACATCTATCCAACATACTGTATACTGTAAAATTAATTAGAATTGCATATGAAGACTCTAAGTGCACTCATTTAAAAGATACAAATTCGGTTTTTTTGAATTGATTTAGAATCTTGTAAAATAAAATTGTCAAGCTTGCACATTATTATGACCAAAATGGGATATTACGCACGTTAAATTCTTGAATTTATTAAAGAACTAGTAAACTTGTTCTAACGAACTTTTATTTGTAGAACAATTAATGCAGCTTTTTCTTGCATTTAATTCTTAAATCTCAAGTATAACAAAAAATCCAATTATAAAAATAACTTAAAATACATATACAATTAACCGATTAATAAAAATTTTTATACATAGCAATATATTTCTATGTATAGTAATTCTTTGATTGTTAATAGAATAAGAACTTATGAAAGCGTGTAAATCTATTAGAGATAATTTTATTTTGGTTCATGGTTTGTTTGATTATTGTTATCGTTATGTACGGTTTGTGTGATCGATGTAGAAAATATTAAATCGAAACATATAATTTCCAGCATCGGAAAAGAGACTCGATATAAGGTTGTACAAAGTAGCTGGTGTTTCAAGTAATAATCATGTGAATTTCCTTATTTATTATTTAATGTTAACTTAAATATCTGTTTATTATGATCCTAATTTGGAAATTTTTTGAGATCGACCTGCGTCACAATGAAGAAATTAGCTCGACAAACTATGAATCGGCGCATTATAGTCAGCTTTAAACACTAATTAGCATCACCTTGATTTGGGAATTCGTTAAGTCGTTTAGCTGGATTAGCCATATTTCCGTCACACATTTATTGGATCACATGATTTGGAAACAGCCAGTCAATATCCTAGCCTATTGTGTTTTAATAGAAAATGTTCCTTGCGAAATTCGCACCTCTACTCTGAATATAATACTATACAATACATATCTTATAATTTGATTGGAACCACAATTCCGATATCCAATATCCTGAAATACAAAAATTCAAAATATCCATTCACAAATCCCAACTTCTCAACATTCCGACATTCCCAAAAATAAATAGAAGCATAAAGGTATGAATATAAATTTCATCTTTACAATTATTACGATAACGGTAATTATATGCGTCTATATGCATTTTACATCAATGTTTTATTACATAATTTTGAGTATTAGAATTTTGACTCTAATAAATCGCAAAATAATATTAATTATATTATCAAGTATGAAAAGTTTGCTTCACCTTTGAAACAGTAATTTGAAAGAAAAGTCATTGAAATGGCGAGAATTATTATTTAGCATTAAGTCTCAAGATATTTTCTATATCAGTCACATTAGCAGCCCAGTGAGCACAGTTGTTCAATTTTGGCTCATTCATTCAAAGTTATGAAATTGTTAAATAAACAGGTAGAACAAATTGTATATATTTATTGAAATTTGCGAATATAAATAATTCTTAAGAATTAGTGAATTTAATTTTCATATAGAAGAAATTGAAAATATTCCTACGAGAAAAATGTGTCAGGAATTTTACATGATGCATAAGCAGTTTTTTAGTGATATGTCAGGAAATAATTTAATATGATGTTTCCTATACAAATGTGTATGGAATTATCATACAGAATTTAAAAATTCCATACACTTTTCAGATACAAATAATATATAACTTACAGAAAAAAGCAGATGTATATTCCATTTACATCTCGTAAAATTTTCCAGATGCAAATTATATTATATATTTCATGCATTTTATAAAATTCCATATGCTTTCCAGATATATAAATTTCAGAAAAAAGTAGATTTATATCTTATATATTCCATTCAACTCTTGTAAAATTGCGTGTGCATTCTATTACAGTATATTACCTATAATCTGAAAATCACAGATACATTTTATATATATGAAAATTACTTATATATTTCTTATGAATTATTTTTTACTAATTCTTATCATAATTAATTACTTCAGATTATTGACTTCTACAGATTCTTGCAAAGTTATTTTCTTGTCAAATCCTATTTGAAAATACAAAATTAATCAAATACAACTAATACAGATCAAGTGTTTTAACTTATAAAGCAAATATCTAATATTTATCTATAATAAGCTCAATAGTTATTTATAAGATAGTATTTTTATAAATTCTTTCAATTAGACTTGATAATTATCTTGAAAATGCGATTTTCTTTTTTTAAATTAATAAATTGGATAAAAATAATAATATAAGAATTAATAACAAATTTATTAACTCAAAAATAATATTTTATTTTAAAGATTTTTATTATATTATAAAGAGAATTTAATTCAATAGTATTTCTAATAATATATCTTAAAAATAATATTATATATACTATCCTCAGAAAAGTATTTGGTCAAGCATTTTTTAAAATTTTCAAGATTAAATATATTAACTAGACAAAAGAAATTTTTTAAATGAATCTCCTGGTTTTGACAATTAGATTATATTGATATTTTAGAAAATAATTTACTATCATTTATTTAATCCAAATATCATAAACAATCTTATGTGTTCCAAGATGATAATGCTCTGATTCATATAGCAAGGAATATTGAAAATTAGATTGCTTAAAAGTGGATTAAGGTATTTTCCAATTGACCTTCTTAATCTTCAGATCTTAATCCAATCAAATATTTATAGAGTAGACTTAAATAAAGATGCAGAAAACACTCTGTACAGCCAACAAATTTTCATGAACTTGAAAAAGTACTACAAGAAGAATGGAGAAAAATTCCACCTGAAACTTATACTAAACTTATTAAAAGCATGTCACATAGAATTGAAGCATGCATTAGGAATCAAGAATGATCTACAGAATATTTAATATTATATTTATATTAAAAAATTAAATAAATAAAATATTTCTTTTGTTGACCAAATACTTTTTCAAGGATAGTATATATATAAAGTATAATATATAATAAACTAAAATATATACTAAATATTTAATAAATTTATATAATAGAGTGAATATATTTTTTTAATATTAATAATTTTAAATAATATTTAAAAAAGTTCAAAGTTTAAAAAGTATATATATTATTAAAATAAATATATGAAATTTTATTTGATCTAATTAAATAAGTTTATATTGAATATTAAAATTTTAAATGTTAATATTATATTATTTTTATTATAATAAGATTAAATATCTTATTATACTTTTGATTTATATTATCTCTTATTATTATATTCTTTATTTTAATAATTATTTTTATAAATTTCAAAGAAGAGTTATTATATTTGTTATTTTATTATCATTATTAAACAAGTTTAATTCTATTTTACTATCTGTTACTTATTAATTTATAGACTGATATCTATTTATATTATTTTAGTTTTTCATATATATTTTCTAATATATATTATTATATTCATATTATTTATATATTTCTAAATATATTTTAAATAAAGTTTATATTTGCATTCTGAGCAGAAACTTTTCAAGTTTCTTATATATTTCTAATATATATCTCATGAAATTACTAATATATTTATAATTATTATATATGATTCTGTAAACTTTTGTATGTATAATATAATATTTTTTATAAATCACATAAAGCTCTGAATGTAATTCTTTATAGAGATTGATATATAATTTGAAAAGAGAAAAATATTCTGTTTGATTAGATTGAAGAAATTTAATAACGAAGAAATATAAGTAAATATAGGTTATTAACTAATAATAAATAAATAAAAAATTCACACAAAGAATATATATCTTGTCTGATACTTTTTGTTATATACTATTTCATTTTATTTTCATTTAATTATTTCAATATATAATCGGTTAGAGCATTATTGACATTATTATATCAAAGACTTATTTAAATTGAAGTTATTAATAAAACAAAAAATGTTTAATGCACAGATTAGATGATGTAACAACAGATATTCGATCAGAATGAACGGCTACAAATAAACCAGGCTTGGAATAGCACGAGTTTAGAAAGTAATATTAATTAATTATAGTAATTTTCAGTTTAAAATAAGAATACTTATTAAAATTCATAAATTTTAAAAACTAAAATACTAATTAATTATTAATATTTAATATATTTTTATTATTATAAATCTAATAAGAATATAATAAATCTGATAATAAAGATAACATTTCTATACAAATAGATTTTCACCATTAATTATTCTAAATATAGTAAAATTATTATAACCTGGGTCATGTTTCTTAATGTTAAAATTAATCATAAAGCTGAAGATAAAAATGTTAATTAGTAATTTGTAAGTTATCAGAGAATTTGTAACTTGTAATGTAAGCTGCACTTGTATCTTACGGTGTCTGTAAACTTATCCTAACTCTAATTAGATTATCCTATAGTGCGATTCAAGGTTCTATAATTTAAAACATAATTTATTATACAGTAATGCATTAATGTTTCTGATTTTATCTTTCTTTATTTGATA